GAGGAGGAGGAGGAGGAGCAGGAGGAGGGGGAGGAGGAGGAGGAGGAGGAGGCGGAGGCGGAGGAGGAGGAGGAGGAGGAGGCGGAGGCGGAGGAGGAGGAGGAGGAGGATGAGGAGGAGGAGGAGGAGGAAGAGGAGAAGAGAGGGCCGGAGCCCACGACTTCTCACGCCTTCAGGAACCAGGAGCCAGCAGGAGGAGAGGGAAGAGGAGGACGAGAAGAGCAGAGCATCAGGCATCGGGTATCGAATGGGCCCAGGTCGCTCGCCGGGCCCAGGTCCAGGCAGAGGGGACGACACGGCGACGACAAGCACCACCCTGTACAGAGCCTCGCGGAGGATCCCAAGAGGCGGCAAGCGGTGGCACCACCGCCCAAGGCCTGTCACCCCGAAGCTCCCTGGGCCCGTCGGCAGTTCACACGCGTGACGCGCGGCTGCCGCAGCGGCCGCCGCGTCGCGTGAAGGATGAGGAAGGATCGGGAGGGTGGTACCGCTGTTGGCCTTAAAAACGCCCATCCACAGACGTTGTTTCGACGGTGCCGCCCCCAGACCCCCCATTTCAACGTTGCGTTCGCGGTCGCTGTCGGGGCGCAAGCGTCGGAACAAAAAATACAAAAAAAGCTACCACCAAGGCAACTCCATGCTCAACATTGAAATCGGGGGCGGGTTCTGAACGCAGCAGCATTGTCCATTTTGCCTGGTGGGTGTTGTTGATGCCAACGGCGGCATTGGGGGGTGACCTAAGTGGGGGGCGGAGGAGCATGTCCTGAATGGGCCCTTTAGGGCCTCTCTTGGGGCCAGCATGGGCCCCAAAGGGACCCTCAAGGACCCCTTCGGAGCCTTGTCTTCTTCATCCTCCAGTCTTGGATGCTCGTTCTGGGGACCTTCCTGGAGCCACTCGCTCCACTCGTGCGTCGAAGCTGCGTCGAACGTCAGTCGATGTGGGTCGACCCCGAGTCGAACCTGAGTCGAACCTGAGTCGAACCTGAGTCGAACTTGAGTCGAACTTGAGTCGAACTTGAGTCGAACTGGGGTCGAACAGATCCGTTAGGTGGGCTCCAGGAAGGTCCCCGAAACGAGCATCGAACCAGTCAGGTCACCCCCCATCACCACCCGCCCGAAAGGAAGGCATCGTTTCGAGTTCATCGTTACGCTGGTCGGGGCTGATCGCTGGGAACACGAACCGCTGAAAGGTTGAAACTGACGTTGACGTTTCTGAAGTGCTCACTCTGTGCCACAACTCCCATGACAGTTCCCTACCTCAATTTCATGTTTGACCGCTTTACTGCCATCGCTATCAAACACATTCCGGAGATGTACCACACCGTCAAAGAGAACATGCTATGCCTATGACATTATACGCCATGGCAATAAATAGTCGGTGTATTAGGTTTCGAACGGGTTCCTATATCTGCTTCCCATACTTGTCAGACAATTGGGTCCAACTGCATTCGAAACATAGTGTCGCTCTTTAACACGAGGGGCCGTCTCCGATTCTGGCGTGCTTGCAGTGAACTCGTGCGGCTTGCCATCGACCATGTGCAAGGCTGGAATGCTCAAAGTTTACACACAACGAGGGACTATTATTGTTGAGCGGGTTTCAAAAGTGAGCGTGGCAGCCGCTTCATCGAAATGTCGGTACAGCCTACGAGCCCACACGTGTAGTGTAGCAGATGCAGGACAAGCGCTTGAAGACATTCCGGTTGCAGAGATTCGTCGTGCAATCGATCATGTGAATGACGCTGCAGTCTGTCGTTCTGAAACATATCACGCAATTCATTTCAAGACCGTTCAGACGCAAACGGGGGACTCGCGGCTGCTACAACCATACAAGCAAGACCGAAGCATACACCGTCTGGCAGCAATCCAAAATTGCATGCATGCGCTGTTGGATATACGAGTGTTCCGGTGTGGAACACATGCTCTACGACAGTTCAAGGGCGCCCCACCGGCGGGCCTGCTTCTCCCGCCTTCCTACATGCTTTTCTTGCGCTTCGGGAGCACGAGTTCGACTAAGAGGGATGGCGAGCATTCACGCACCCGCGCGTGGTATCGGGGACTGCTGTGTGACAGCGGCATGGTGCCTGTGGGAGGTACGTCGAGGACCTGAACATGATCTCGCGGTCAATGTGCGCCCCCATTCGTTACCACATTGTTACAGACCGCGTGCAGAGGGAGCGTCTCTTTCCACATAGAAAACAAATACCCGACGCGTTCCTAGCTGGTCGCGCGTGCTTGCCGAAGTACCGGTTCCCACCGCTAGTGGGGCAAGGGGCGTCGGTGGAAAGCCACTTTCGTATGACTATGGCTGGCCGAGGGGACAGGTGGAAACAGACTCGATTCGATAGAGCTGCGAATACTTTTGCATTCCTACTTGACGCCGTACATAGAGCTACGAATACCTGCGTACAAGATATCATTTCTCTGAGGTTCGCGCGGATTTCATGAATCGGCGCTGGACCCCCCTCCCTGGCGCGCGGAGCCCACCAGGGGCGGCGCAAGGGAGAGCCCAGCGCCGACCCAAGAAATTCGCGCGGATCTCAGAGAAATTATGTTTATGCCGGTTTTTCGAATAAAACTGCAGTATCTGAAATACACTTACAGTTATGTTTGTCAATCTCCGTCTCCTGGTTCAGGACCCTCTCGCATCCCGCGGCAAGGAGGGATTGCGGATGGTGCGGCGGACCTGGCCCAGCCAGCAATTCTGCGTGCAGTGGTGCTTCCCAGAGCTCCCCCAAAGTACTGCAACGATAGCGCGTGGTCTTTGCATGGGATGGATTTGAATACGGTGGCGGCCTTGGATAACTAACACTAAGAAACCAGGGTCTGGCAGCCGGTGGAACTCCAATCGTGGATTGGCCATGGACACCACTGCCGCCCTCATCAGATCAGGAACCCCTCAGGGTCTGAAGCCTTCCGGGCACATTCCTTAGCGAACGCCCCCGCCGTATTTACACGGCATGGTCTGGGAGACCCACCCGCACGGACTCTTTCTGACTGTGTGCGGGCAGGCCCAGCGCGAGAACATGTAGATCGATGAACCCGTGAGGGCTGTGATCGCCAATATTGCTCGAACATGTTGGATCTGATTATATTACGTCGATTGCCCCGGTAGACCCCCCAAAGCAGGGACGGCATCGCTAGCAGCAGCAGGTGCTCCAGAAACGACACGCCAGCCCAGCCCACCAGAAAAGAAGCCAACACTCATCATCACATCGTGCTGACTGCCGGTGCGGACAACTGTGGAATCCTTTTTTTCCTGCTGACCAAGCTGAGTAACTACCAAGTAATCGGGACCGAACCCACCGCGTCTCCCGACGGTGGCCAGAGTTGGCTGCATCACGTGTCACGGTGTTGCTGTCGTGTAATGCTTTCGGCCGGCGCACAGTTTTACGCTTTCGTCGCGCAGCGACGCAACAAATGTTGCGTGTTGTTGCACGTCTGGCAATTGCGTACGTACCCTATGATTTGCGATTGCCGCGCCTCCCGCTACGCCCCCACGGGGTCACCGAGCCCCGTGCGGGACATACCTGGGATTGCGCGGACCCGTGCCGTCGCCGCCTCGGAAGCAGGGGCGCGGCGCGCCCCCCGCGGACCTCTCCCCCCCCTGGGGGTGAGGGCGCCTCCGCCGTGCCAGACTCAGGGGGACGTAAGACCTGGGCACAGTGGCTTCCGCCTCCCGAGGGGCCTCGAGAGGTCGCGGGAGGGAACCCTGTTCTGCGGCGGCGCGGCGGCGGGGCTCCCATATTCGGGGAGCCGCGAGCCGCGCGCCGCGAATGGCTTCGCGCCCTCCTGGCGTACCCCTCGGGGGCTGCCCTTGTAGAGGCCCCCTAGATTCAGGGGGACGCAAGACCTGGGCACAGTGGACTCGGAAATCCCCGACGAGGTCGTCAAAAGAATAACGAGGCCGAGCCTGCATTCTGACGAGGCCTCCCGCTGCAGACATCCCACGAAACTCCTCCTCGTCGAAATCCGAGGCGCGGTCGTCAAAAGACGATGGCGAACCCGAGTCCTGGCAAACCCGGGTCTTACGCTCCCCCGAAAGATGAGGATGGACGGGGAGCACGGGGGGGCCGGTCGACCGGTCCTGCCTGTGGACCCATGCCGGGAGAGTACGGCCCCCCCTTCGGGGGTGCCTTCGGATCTTGCTCACTCCTGGCGCCTCTGCCGCCACCTTCCGTGCTGCTGTTCCCTTGGAAGAGGCTGCTGGCACCAAATGCTCAAAGTCGCGGCTGGCCGAGAAGGACGGAAAAGGGGGTCCGTGATCAAGGATCGGGGTCCGAACATTTTGGGGCCTCTTCGGCGTCCCTCTGAGCCACGGCTGAACGCGATGCTGACAGCAGGGAAGGATGGGCACGGGTAGGGGTCTGTGGACTGAGAACCTCATCCACGGACGGGCCATGTTGCAATCGGCCAACACTGAGGAGATAAAGGCAGGCCAACTGTGTAGTATGTCTGCTGACCTTGCGCTGAGAATCAGTCTCACGTGTCAATCGTGTAACGTTTATAGTGTGTGTGTATGTGTGTGTGTGTGTGTGTGTGTGTGCGGGCACTGTGATAAATAAAGCGCAGGAGGTCGGAGAACGCAGCACGATATGATGAGGATGAGGCTGATGATGATGATGATGGCGATGATGATGACGATGACGATGATGCTGATGACGATGATGATGGTGATGGTGATGATGACGATGCGGGCGTTCAAACTAGTAATAGTAACAACAATAATAATCCGGCGGATGGCGATGATCCCGATGGTGAGAACAATGATGGTACTGACAGTGATGCTGATGCTGATGATGACGATGATGATGACGACGATGAGGATGATGGTGGTGGCGATGATTATGAGGATGCTCATGGTGATGATGCTGGTGATGATGATGCTGATGCTGGTGATGATGATGCTGATGCTGCTGATGGCGATGCTGAAGCTGATGATGATGCTGATTATGATGCTGTTCCAGGTGATAATGGTGGTGATCATGACGATGACGATGATGATGATGATGATGATGATGATGATGATGATGATGGTGTTCACGTTGATGATTATGATGATGCTGATGATGATGATGCTGATGATGAGTAGTATGATGACTTGTCCCAACCCTCCTGTGTGGTGGGTCCCCGTTTTGAATTCGCAGCGCCCCGCGTCACTTTCCTTCTCCGCCGCCTCCTCCTCCCTCCACTCATGTTCGTCCTCACTCGTCTCTTCGCTTCCTCCTCATCCTTCCTTTCCAACTTCCCATCACAACCACCACCATCATCATCATCATCATCATCACCACCATCGTCATTCTCATCATAGTTTCGGCGCGCTCCTCACACGCTTCTTGGCCCCAGAGGGAGCTCCCCCGGCGGCTCCAGTGGCAGGGTCCGTATGTGTACTCGGGTCCATCTGAGCACACCCCTCACAAGCTTCATTGCCCCATAGGGAGCTCCACCGAAGGCTCTGGTGACAGGGTCCGCATGCGTACTCGGGTCCACTTGGGCACACCCCTCACACTTTTCGTGGCCCCAGAGAAAGCTCCCCCAGAGACTCTAGTGGTAGGGTCCGCATGCGTACTCGGGTCCAGTTTGGCACACCCCTCACAGGTTTCGTGGCCCCACAGGGAGCTCCACCGAAGTCTTCAGAGGCAGGGTCCGCATGCGTACTCGGGTCCATTTGGGCACACCCCTCACACGTTTCGTAGCCCCAGAGTGAGCTCCACCGGAGGCTCCAGTGGCAGGGTCCGCATGCGTACTCGGGTCCATTTCGGCACACCCCCCACAAGCTTCATGGCCCCATTGGGAGCGCCACCGAAGGCTCTGGTGACAGGGTCCACATGCGTGCTCGGGTCCACTTCGGCGCGCCCCTCGCACCCCAACGAGCTCGTGTGCAACGAGCGGGCCTGTCGATAGTTTCCACGCGCGTAGAAGGGGTTGGGTTTTCTCGCCAGGGGAAATGTTGTTTGCTGCAGCGGCAGGGCACTCTGCGGTCGCCTGCGCCGAGAAAGGGACCCGAAGGTGAAACGAGTGATTGATGCAAGAGTCTGGCGACTCCGATTGAAGCAATCTGGCAAGCCCGCTGCACACAACGCCGAAGCGACCCTGATGGGATCGACGGCTGCACGGGACGGCCGCTATCTCCCGCAGATCCTCGTTCTCCACCTCCACCACCGCGCCCCCCCAATCCCCACCTTCCACGCCGATGTCAACTTGCGGGACAGACAATCCAAATGTCCACGTCCACCGCAAGGAGTACGTCGTGCCGGGCGCCAGACCTCTCCTCGGCACCAGCGCCAGTGCACACGCTGGTGATGAATAGAACGTTGGAGCTTTGTCCACAATCTCTCCTCCAACTCTGCACGGGTACGCGAAGGCTGTAACACACATCCGAACAGTGATGTACTGGGGGCCTGGCTCCGCAACCCCGCGGTGAATCTTCCCAGCGGGCAGCGTCCCGCAGGCTAGTTGTATTACTGGGCAGGCGAAGGTGCAGGCAACACATGTAGAACATTTCAGAACTGCTGCCTCCAGGCGGCAAGGTGGAGAGCAGCGGGGGAAAGCTGATGCCTACTCTGGGTGTCTTGAGAAGCGTGGGGGGGTACCCCCCCCCGACGGGGGTCAACCTCGCCTCGCCGTCGCGCCGCGACGGGGGTCGGAACGCCTTCGGCGCGCGGCGGCTGCCCGCGACGGTGGTCGATGTGGGGCTGTCGGCGGGGGTGACGCCCCCCCCCCCCCCGACGCTTCTTAAGAAACTCGGATTGCACAGACGCGGCAGCACGGCTACAGCACTCGGCGCTACACGGCAGAGACCTCCCCTTCGAGGCGGGAGCCCACGGGGACGTCCGCCTCCGCGTACGACGCCTCCGCCGAGGGGCCCGCCCTCCGGAGAGTGCCATTCGGCCTCGGGACCTCAGCGCTCGTGAGGCCCGAGCGATTCATCGCCTCGTCTGGCGATGGAGGAGCAGTCAGCGACCCCGGAGAGTGCGCGCCGTCCACCTCGAAGCGCGGGACGAGGGCGAAGAGCCTCAGCTCCACGTCGAGTTTCACCTCGACGCCCATCTTAGAGGTGCAGACTACCTCGCCGTCGTGCGTGCCTACGCTCGACTCCAACACGATGGACAGAGGGAACGTGCCTTCCGCCAGGACCGCCTTTGCCTTCATGATCTGAACGTTGACCTGATGGGCGTTCATGAAGTCTGACGTCTGGAGGTGCAGGCAGAGCTTGTGCTGCACGCTCAGGTTGCAGCTGGCCCTCCGTATGCAGCGCACGACGTCCGCGTGGTCCTCGCCCAGGGCCTCGGCGATCTTGCCCGCGGCGAACCCCTTCTGTGCGAGCCGCTCAATCCTCTTCTGCGTCTTCTCCGGCAGGTTGCCCCCGGAGCCCTCTGCTGGGTCCTGGCACCGCTCCGTGCTCCCGGCCCCTCCGAAGCTCACGCTCACCTCCACCTCGGACGGCTTCCCTAGCTCGCGGGGCAGCTGGCCGCCGAGGATGTGGCACACCAGCAGCGCCACGGAGCCCGGCGGCTCCGGCTCGAAGTCGGCGTTCTGCTCGGAGTCGTAGTTGTGGTCGGAGCCGGCGAGCGCGCCCTCCTCAGCACGGACCGCCAGCTGGTCATCCAGCAGGTCCGCCTCGAGGTCGCCAGCCTGCTGCTTGCGTGGGCTGCCAGAGGTCTCCCCCGCCTCGAGCCCCACGGAGACGGCCTGCTGCTGCGGCTGGGAGGCGAGCACCCTCGCGGGCAGCTTGGACGGGTCCCGCGCGAGGTCGAAGATGGCGGCCGACAGGTGGACTCTGCTGTCGGGGCCAGCCGTTTCGCCTCCGAGCGTCTTCCACTGGCCCTGGGCGACCCCCTCGGCGGCGAGGTGCTCCACCTGGATGCCCTTCACCCTGCCGATAGGCCAACAGCTCCCGGCGAAGTCAACGTCGAAGACCTCGACCTCGAGGTGCTGGCGAGCGTCGTAGATCACGAAGTCGAAGGTCTCGGCCCACCGCGGGCCCGGCCCCCGGATCGCCGCCGTCTGCACCGTCCGACTCCCAACGGAGAGCCTGGCCACGGCTTCCGGGTCGCGGGTCAGCACCGTGCTCGAGGAGCGGAGGCCCGTCGCGGCGTGCACGGTCAGGCGCGCCACGAAGGAGGGCATGACCGTTGGCCACGTCACGGTCTCGTCGTTAAGGGGGTCCGCCCAATTGATGTTCAGGAGGTGTGGCACCGTGAGCCTGTTGTCGATCGCTTGCTTGATCGCCGTCTGGATGTACTGCCTGACGAATGAGGTATTTGCGACCTCCAGCGCATGTTTGAAGCGTATCTCGATCTCCGGCGAGTTCAGGAAGAACATCTGCATCGCGGAGAAAACTGGTATCTCGTCAAGCAGCGGCGAAAATCTTATATTCAGTGTCCCTGTGAAGCTGATGTTGCAGATGCCGAACTGCAGCAGGCCCATCTGCATAATGATGTCCGCGTCCGTGGAATATGTCAGGCCGATGTCGAGCTGAACCTCCAGGCCATCCCTGTCCTCGGAGCTCACGTGGTTCCGGGAGCTCGCGTGGATGGGGCCGAGCTGCGGGAAGCCGTCGCCGAAAGAACACCTGACCACGCTGAGGCTCTGCAGCGCCACGGGCAGGGAAGGCCTTGCGCTGGCGACGCCGTCTTTGAGCATCTTCTCGAACCCTAGCTTGAACTTTGGCCAGATCCTCTCCATTACCCACGTCAGCCACTTGAGGGACTCCGCCTCACTCATCCCGAGGTTGGACGTCACCAGGCTCAGCTCGGGGAGCTCGGCGTCGAGGTCCTGCAGCTGGACGCGGTGCTCCACGTCGAACTCGAGGTCCAGCCGCAGGAACGTGGAGAGCGACCGCAGGGAGGGCGCGCCGGCCGCCTTGTCCAGCGAGAAGCGCTCGAGGGAGATCTCGAGCCGGCGGCCGGGCTTCCGCCCCGCCCGCCGGTCCCTGACCTCGTCGTGCTCGAGGAGGGACGTGTGCAGCCAGCAGCCGAACAACATGCCGGAGAACTTCCTCTTGAACGGCGGCTTCACGCGGCGGCGGCAGCACCAGCCGCACGCCGTGGGCGCGGCGTGCTCCACGGCGCCGGGGTCCAGCTCGGTCTCGGCCCCCCCGAGGTGCAGCTCCAGCCGGATGTCGCCAGACAGGTCCACGTCCTTGATCTCCCAGATACGACACACGGCCTCTTGCGTCTCCGAGTTCTTCATCGTCCTGACGACGACCTTCCTCGGGTCGAGGAGCTCCTGCTTCGAGGAGAAGATGGGGTCCCCTGGCAGGGGGGCCGAGCCAGACCGCCTCGAGTCCATGGCGCCCTCCTCGATCGCGTGCACGACCCGCATCTGCAAAGGGGAGCGGTCTTCCGAAGAGCTGCCGCCGGCCCCGTCGGCCCTGGCCATCATCTTGTGCAGCTCCCCAGAATCGACCCCCGCTATGCTCTTCTGTGGCTCCCCCGGGTGCTTGAAGCAGCTGAGGTCCACGAGGTGGGCATTGGACAGACCTGTCAACTGTATCCTGGTGATCTTGGCGCTGCGCCGCGGGAGCCCGCTGCGCCGGCTGCACGCGTGGGCGAAGTACTCCAGGAACCGCATCTGGGACGCGCTGTCCAGGGTCTGGGTCGGCTCGCCCTCGCCGGACTCCCGCTCCCTCCGCAGGTTCTCGAAGGACTGCAGGGCGGTCGAGGCACTCCTGTGCAGCTTCCGGTGCAGCAGCAGGGCGACAACAAAGACGGCAGAACGTCCCTGGTTATGCTTCGAATGAACGGCCACCACGTTGCGCGGGTCTTCTTTCAGCCACAGGTCAACATGTCTGACCATGGTCAAGAGCCCGTCCAAGGTAGGCACGCCATCCTGCGCTATCGGGAACTGGTAGTAACGTCCGAAGAAAGGCCCAAGAGGATATCTGCGCTCTTGCGTAACGTTGAGCACTAAGTAACTGTTCCCGTGCCTCTCGTTCAAGAAACGCGACACGGCCGGCAGCGGGTTGTGAAGGATCGCGTCGCGGCCCACTGCTGGATTGGACATCACAATGATCTGCGGAGAAATATACTGCAGGTCCAGGTCGAACCCGTCCTCGACAAAGCGCCGTCTGTTGCCCGACACCTGGTGGCGCAGCCTCGTCAGGTACTGCTGGCCCTTGCCGGCGGTGCGGAACAGCACGCGGAGCAAGCGCACGCCGCGGAGGATGGGGCGGAGTGCTCGCAGGATCGGCAGCGGCACGTCCTCTGCAAGGTCTTTAAGCCAGGCGACCTCCAAGATCGTGATCGGCACCAATATGATCTCAAATAGGTTCAGCTTGCATTCGCGCGCGGGAAACACGAACTCAGAGCCCTTCGCGAACCACCGTAAGCACACGTCGGCGGCCAGGATGCTGACGATGACGTAGTCGCCGATGTCGTTGATCGGATGGGCGCTGTCGATCGCGTCGCCGAGGGAGATCCCGGTGAGAACCAAGTCGAACATGACCACCATGAACACAACAGCCTGGACGGGCCACGAGAACACAACCTGGCCCACAACCGAGCGCAGGCACATCAGCTCGGTGCTCCGCTTCGCCAGCTCTGAGCTTCTCTTTCGCCGGGCCGGCATACCCACCCTCTTGCGCACCTCGGGGTCCTCCAGATCTGGGTTGCATATGACGTCCTGAAGGAAAGTGAGGACGTTGTGCTCGCCGACGTTCCTGTTCGAGCGACCTGTGGTGCTGGTCCGATTGCAGAACGGGATCGTGCCATCGTTGGAGTCAAGGCGACGCATCGAGGCGTCTCCTTGCGTGCTGCTGGCGGTGGCGGCGATGGTCCCCCCTCTGGATTCCTCATCTTCCGCCGCCGCTGGCAGCATCCACGAGGACCAAGGGTACGCTTGCGGATTTCTCGGTCGAGCAGGAGCCGCTGTCGGAGGTTGCAGTCCTCAGCAGCAGTCGCGCTGGCAACAATCCACCATCGTGGAAGGGCGACACGAGGCTCCCTGACCCACCCCCTTGAGTCCAAATGGTTACAAAGGAACGATGATGATGATGATGATGATAATGATGATAATGGTGATGATGATGATGATGATGATGATGATGATGATGATGATGATGATGATGATGATGATGATGATCGACCGTACCTGAGGCGAGCCAGTTCGCACGCATCGTCAGCCGCTTTAGATGTCAGTGGCGTGCTGTGCTGCTGCGAAGGCGGCTCGCTGTTGGCTTGGCGTGAGCTGGTCCCCATGGGTCACCGCAGCTTTCGCCTTATGGTAAGTATGGAATGCCAACACGGCCAAACGCAGCGCATCAGCGCGCGAGAACGTGCAGCTCTCACAATTGTATTCGTTGTCGGCCGCTAGGCCGAGGAAAGTCAGTGGGTTGGAGGGGAGGCCGACGAGGGAACGGAGGACGGGGCAAGAAAAGTAATGGGCAATGGAGTCAGTCTGGGCGCACCCAAAAAGGCAATTGACGATCCCACGCACGTGGATTCGATGGCTGGTAGTCCAGCCGCCTGCGAGGGTCTTAAGGATTGACCACTGCCATGCAGGTTTGAACTTCTTAATCGTTGCAAGACAATCCCCCCACCGCTCCGCCACCCCGCCCACGATGCTATCAGCAAGACCCCAAGCGTTCAGACGCTTGGAGATAGTGACTTCAAATTTATTGGGGAAGAGATTGAGGCGGAGGAAGGAGGAGATCGTACGCTGGAGCTTGGGCTTCTTGCCCACCGCTTGCGCCGCACGGGTTTCCATGCGGCCCGCTGCATGCGAGGCTCTCCACTGGACAATTGGGATGCCTCGGCGGGGTGGGCGATTCACTAAATCTGCGAAACGCTGGGCGATCCCCTGCTTTTGGATCCAGCAGGGGGCGCTCCACTCTCCTTTGATCCAGTCAACGACGGGGCAGGTCAGCGCCGCCGTTTCGCGCCACCTGTCGAGCTCTGCTGCCCAGTCAGTGATCGTGAGAGTGGAGCAGCGCCACATACTAGCCGCTCCTAGGATCAGGGCGGACTGTGGGGCCACTAAACCGTGTCCCGTGAAAGAGACAACATCTGCTTTGCGAGACGTGCAGGCCCTACGGCGACCAGCACGCAGTTGACGAAAATGCGCTTCAGCTGCAGGTTGGTCTCCAGCTCGTTGTGCCGCTTGTGCAGCTCGGGCAGCACGTAACTGCATAGCCTCAAGTTCCGCATCGTGTAGAGAGCGGAAGAGGACGCGAAAGGTGTCCGCGTTCTGGAGTCTGACACGACCCTCATCGATGTGGAGAAAGCGCTTGCCATCCTCGGTGGTTGATACCAGAAGGGCTGCTTGCTGTAGGTCCTGCTTCCACACGGCTCTAGAAATACTGCGGAGAGTAATGTTGCGGCCACCTCGCGCACGTTTGTCGCCAGGTCGATATGGTAGCCGCTGAAGCTCATCTCGAGTTTGACGAGCGGCCTCAAGCATGAGCTGTTTCATGTACGTCCACTTCAGCACAGGCGAGAACCTTTCCAGTCCACTCGCGTTGATGAGGCTGTCGGGTATGATCTTGTAACGCTCGTCCGTGAAGACCACATCTGGGATGCGCTGCGCCTCCTCTGGGATGTTCTGCTTGGCTCTGAAGGAGGCGTGGATGATGGAGTGGTCGCTCAAGCGTGACTGGGCCATCTCCACTGGGTCCATGGCAACAGAGAGGTGGATGTCCGTGGCGATCAGGTAATGCTCTGGTGTACTGACAAAAAGTCTATCGATGGCCGATGCGGTGTAATGATGTCTGCTGAAATGTGTTGGCACCTCCGAGCGGATCCCCTGCATAGTGTCAAAGAGGGAACGCCAGAAAGCTTCTGCAGGTTGGTATGTACGAAGTGTCCGTAGCTGGGCCTGATCAGGTATCGGGTGATCATATGACAACTGAACGCCCTCACGGATGTTGGAGTCACCTATCGCGATGAACGTTCGCTCAAGATGATTGCTGCTTGTCCATTGAATATTTTCCATCCATCTGCTGTTGATAACATTCTTGTCGTTCGGGGAAATGTTGTAGTTGTGAACGTTCATGACGCGCATCTGGTAGCGTAGCTCGTGGTGCTTGATCGACAGCTGCGCGACCCTGCCTGGGACTAGTACTTCAAATTCGAGAGACGGTCTGGTATCTGCAGCACTCGCAGGCCACGGCACTAGGGATGCCACTCCACCTCGCCGTGCGTTGCCAGCGCGCTCAGCATCGGGTGATTCTGATGAACTCTGCGATGATTCTTCCGCCTGAGAGTGAAAGACCTTGTACCTGTATGGGGAGGAGGCGACCATGACTTCAAGCTGTTGACGAACACCACGCGTCTCCTGGATCATGATGAGAGCGGATGCCTTCATGAACCTCTCCAGCTTGCGCAGCTTGTTCTTGCGGCGGCGATTCTTGTAGCAGCACAGGCCACGAGCATTCCACGATACTACTTGGCCACCACTGTCTCTAGCTTGTTGTAGCCACGGGCTCCAGCGCGTGTTAAATCGACCACCGCGTCGTATCTGTGGCCTGGAAGAGCTGCTGAAACTGATCTGTGATAGTGACCTTGTCGATACCCATCTGGTGGGCGACTGCGATGTTCCACCTGAGCTTTGTGGGTGCGTTGGCGCTGTCTCCAACCTCGAGAACCACAAGGGGAATTGAGCTGCAAGAGACAATACCTTCGTCTCCGACCCTTCTGAAGTGGTGATTGCCGTACTTGTCTGCCAGGAGTCTGACCAATCTCTTTGTTTGTAGTTCTCGCCGAAGTGTTTTAGGAGACTTGTCCGCGTTGATGTACAGGGGAGTGAGCGCGCCTGTAGTGTTTGGAGCCGAGAAGTTACGCCACTGACCTCCTGCTCTGAGATTCCGTGCGGGTGAAAGACTGCGTGAAGTGGCTGCTTGTCCACCGAGGACTCTGAGGAAGAAACGCCGTGCGGGTACGTCGCCGATGAGCTCGATGTCGTTGGTGGAGACGCCTGCTGCATTGATCCTAGGTTCAAGAGCTCGCTTGACTTCTGTGGGTTGTATAGCCGATGGTGCGCCAATAGTGTAGAGGTGGGGATCTGGAGGTCGATCCCAAACTGCCAAAGCTGCCATGTCGAAGGCGGGTAAAGTAGCTTCCGCCATTGCCAATTGCGATTGAATCCGTTCCACATCTTGCCGCATCTGTAGTTGTTCCTGCTCCACTGTGTGTGTACGTTGGCTAAGTTCTCGGACTGAGGTGTCAAGGACGTCCATCCTGCGGCCATGCTGTCGCGCATGTCCGAGGACGAGCTGAAGTTCGCCTTGAAGAGCTTGCTGAGCGTTGCGTATGATGGCCTCGGACTCGTTCTGGAGCCTGGCGGTGGCGGACTCGATCTGGGAGGAGAAGAGCTGGCTGAGGCGCTGCTCCAGCGAGCTGTCGTCGTGCACGAATCCATCTCCAGCTGGGGTAGGGATGCTGCCGAATGCCTCGCCCGCAACTGGAGTCGCTGGTACCACTCCTGCTGGTGTTCCAGTAGGCGTGCCGGGTGTTGTAGCCGCTTCTTCTGCAGCACGCATGTGGGAAGCCGCAGAAGCTGGTCCAGGTGGAGGCTGAGACCCTGTCCACGGGTCCTCTCGCTGTAGTGCATCTTCGCCTCTCGGGTCGGCTCTTGAACTGGTTGCTCTGGCTGCTGTCGCGGCCGACGGTCCTCCGCTGCGCGCTGTTCTGCGTGTGGGTGTGGTAGCTGTGGCTGTACCTGCTCGGCCCGCACGTGGGGGATGAGCTCGTTGTGTAGCCCCCTTCTCGTGTCCACGGTGGTCTTCACGTTCACGTTCAACTCGTCGTCTGTCCCGATCTTGAGAAGGAGGACGCTCGGATCTATGCTTGTCACTTCGTTGACCTCTATCACTGCGGGAGTGGCTGCCGTCACCTCTGCCCTTGTCTCTGCGATCTCGTTCTCGTTCTTTGCGTGGCCGTCTGCGTCGATCTTTAGATGCTGAGGAGGAGCTGCTGCCGCTACTTTCACTGGATGCCATTGTGAAGTACTCTGCCGTTGTGGGAGGTGGAGCGAGACGCTATGCAGCGCGGGGTCGTTGATGTCGTTGCTGGCTGTGGGCCGCTTCTCGCCAGCGACCTGTGGCGCGATATGGAAGCCGTCCCCGCTGATGCAGAGGTGGCTCTTCGTCAGGAGGTACTCGACCGACGGATGGAATATGGAGGCGCACACAGCAACAAATACTATGGCGAGGACACTTGGGCGGCCGCTAGCCCCTGATTGTGGCGGCAAGACAACTGGACGATCTGATGGGAGCCTACCCCGCTGAGGCAGTGGAATGGAAGCCATTTGGCCTTGAGCCAAAATGGCTACGGATGATGATGATGATAATGATGATGATGATGATGATGATGATGATGATGATGATGATGATGATGATGATGATGGTGATGGTGATGATGGTGGTGGTGGTGATGATGATCTTGATCTTGATGTTGATGATGCTGATGCTGATGATGATGGTGGTGCTGATGATGGATATGGTGATGGTGATGGCAATTCTGATGATGATGGTGATGCTGATGACGATGGCGAGAAAATAGGAATAATGATATCGATATGGAGAACGTGGCCAATGCTACGATTCGGGACCCCTGTCAGGATCATAATGGAAGGAGGAAGGAGAGCGAGAAGCGAGGCGGAACGCAGTGAAGACGACGACGAAGACAGCGTCGATTATGTGGATGGTGGGGTGAAAGAAGGAGGAGGAGGGAGGATAGGGGCGATCTCATCCAGCGAAGTTAGCGATGTGAACGCAGTGCTGACCTCGCATGTGGCGGATGCGCACGGAGTGCGACCGCGCTCTGGCGGTGAGCAGCGACGAAGACCGCCATCATCCGAAACCTTCTCCTCCCCCTCCTCCTCCTCCTCCTCCTCGCCCATCCTCCCTCTCCCCACCCAGTACAACGCCTCGTGGCCCTATAGGAAGCTCTATCGAGGGCCCCAGCGACTGTGATCACACGCGTCCACGCCACCCATTTCGGCACACCCCTCACATGTTCCATGGCCCCATCGGGAGCTCCACCGAAAGCCCCAGTGTCTGCGACCACATGCGTCCCCGCCACCGATTTCGGCACACCCCTCACACGCTTCGTGACCACATGCGTCCCCGCTACCCATTTCGGTACACCCCGCGCACGTTCCGTGGCCCGATAGGGGGCGCCACCGGAAGTCCCTGTGGATGTGACCGCATGCGTTCCTGCTACCCATTTTGGCACACCCCTCACACGCTTGTGGCCCCATAGGGGGCGCCACCAAAAGGCCCCAGTGGCTGTGACAACATGCGTCCACGCCACCCATGTTGGCACCCTCCTCACACGGTTCGTGGCCCCACTGGGAGCGCCACCGAAGGCCCCAGTGGCTGTGACCACATGCAACCCCGCCACCCATTCCAGCACACACGCCCTCGCATGGTTCGTGGCCCCATAGGGAGCGCCACCGAAAGGCCCCAGTGGCTGTGACAACATGCGTCCACGCCACGCAATTCAGCACACACCTCACACGTTTCGTGGCCCCATAGGGAGCTCCACCGAAAGCCCCAGTGTCTGCGACCACATGCGTCCCCGCCACCGATTTCGGCACACCCCTCACACGCTTCGTGACCACATAAGGAGCTCCACCGAACGCCCCAGTGGCTGGGACCACATGCGTCCACGCCACCCACACCCCTCACACGCTTCGTGGCCTCCACCGAAGACCCCAGCAACTGTGATCACACGCGTCCCCGCCACCCATTTCGGCACACCCCGCGCACGTTCCGTGGCCCGATAGGGGGCGCCACCCGAAGTCCCTGTGGATGTGACCGCATGCGTTCCTGCTACCCATTTTGGCACACCCCTCACACGCTTGTGACCCCTTAGGGGGCGCCACCAAAAGGCCCCAGTGGCTGTGACCACATCCAACCCCGCCATCCATTCCAGCACACACACACACACACCCTCGCATGGTTCGTGGCCCCATTGGGAGCGCCACCGAAGGCTCCAGTGGCTGTGACCACATGCGTCCCCGCCGCGCAACTCGGCACACACCTCACACGCTTCGTGGGCCCATAGGCACCTCCACCGGAGAGGATACGCACCACTGCGGCACCCACAACTTTCTTTGTCTGGATCCCTCGCCAAGATAATGTTTGACGGCCCTGGGACCCAGAGAGGGCCCCCAGGGGCCGAACACGGCGAAGAACTGGCGGCAACGTTCGCTTATCGTGTCGCGGCGGCAGCCCTGGTGACACGCTACGCCCTGCAAGAGGAGAGCGTGTCGCTCCGCTCCACGCGGCGGGAGGTTCTAGAAAACGCCGGACTTTGACGCCTGGAAACCGCGACGTGGATAGCGTGCCGCGCCGAAGCGGGAAGCACTGGGATGCCATCCGGGAGGCCACGGGATGCCATGAGATACCACGGGAGCGATGAATCAAACCCTTGAGAATGTACAAAAGGAGTCTCACCCCTCGAGCTGGAGGGCCCCGGGGCCCAGAACAAAGCAAAGTCGCCTGGTGTGAAAAGTGCGACGCCACAGTATCAGGGAAAGGCTCGGAACGGTAACGCTCGGGGACAAGGGAGTGGACAGCGCGTCGCGCCGAAGCGTGGTGGGCCAGGACCAGCAGAGCGACCCGCTAAGCCACCGTAAGATGTCAGGGGCTGTCTCGACTGGCCCACCTCCGAGTGTCACCGTGACCGCTGGTGCCCCCAGAGGCCCAAAACGGAGGAGAAACGTCGTCTTGAACTTCCATGTCTGAAGATGCCTCAGGTGGCGGCATCCGAACTCTGCCCTCACCCAACCATCGACTCTCCTGAATCGATATGGGAGGCGGAGCAGGGGCTCGCCACGTGTTCGACGAATTCGGACCGCCCCCTTCCGGCGCCCATCGAGCGGCCTGAGCCGTCGATCGGCGAGGGCAGGGCTCGGCTTTCGCCGCCGATGTCTGAGGCCGTCTCGACTCGCCCTCCTCCGCTCACCGCCGTGGCTGCGACCGACGCCGGGCGAAGCAGGCCGCGCATGCCGCGCGCCGCGGTGGCGCAGCAGGCGAACACGACGGCCACGGCGCCGATGATGCCGAAGACCTCCCCGCGCGGCACGTGGCGCGGGCTGATTGCGCCGCTGCGCGACCGGCGAGGATTGACCCTCGAGAATCTCGCGAGCGGCGCACCCCAGATGTGCGACCCTTTCCCCAGGACCGGTTTTCATCCCGAGTCCTTTTGTTGACGGTCCCGCGGCCTGGCGAGGGCCCCCAAGGGCCGAAAATGGTGAAAAACGTGCCGCCCTGGTTTTCCTACGACGCCATCACGTCTGGAACGTATCCATATCCGCGCCCTCGCGGTCTGGACTCCGGGGACGATCCCGCGGATGCGCGGTCGCACGGACACGTGCCGCGCGGGGCAGCCGCCGGGAAAGCGCCCCGTGCCCGCGGGGCCGCGGGGGGCCGGGCCGCGGGGGATATGCAGGTAGATTTCTCGCCCTCGAGGGCCGACGATCGAAAACAGAAGGTCGTTAGAGAGAGGAGGAGGAGGAGGAGGAGGAGGAGGAGGAGGAGGAGGAGGAGGCATCTCCTGGGACCCAAGAGGTCTTCCCCCCAAACGGGCCAAGGCTGTGAAGCAAATGGAGAAAACATTCGACGTGATGGGGCCCGACGTAGCCCGGGATTGAGCCAGATTCGCCGAGGTCGAGCTGGATCAATCAGGACTGTGCCAGATTCGGCCATTTTTCGACCACGGAGATACCAGTGATGCAGTTGACTCTGCAGTAACCTCCCAGGAGTTGCCTCGGAAGGGTCGACCCTCGAGGATCGGCCCTCGAGGATCGACGACAGAGCGTCGAGGATCCAGCCCCCTCGAGGATCGAGGGCCGTCCAGGATCCGACCCCTCGAGGGGGCTCGAGGGACAGGGATATTCGAGAGGGCACTGCGCTCTGGCTCCCGCCCCCCCCTCGGGGATCGAGGACACTGAGGTCTTCGGGCGCTCCAGGGCGGTTTCTGGCCGCGCACGCAAGCACGACGACCACGGCGCTGGCAATGCCGAGGGCCTTCTGCAGCGTCCTCCTCCTCCTCCTCCTCCTCCTCCTCCTCCTCCTTTTCTTTCTACTGCTACTCCCCTGCTCCTCCTCCTCCCCTCCTCCTCCTAGTCCTCCTCCTCCTCTTCCTGCTCCTGCTCCTGCTCCTCCTCCTCCTCCTCCTCCTCCTCCTCCTCCTCCTCCTCCTCCTCCCTCCCCCTCCTCCTCCTCCTCCTCCTCCTCCTCCTCCTCGGCCTCCTCCTATTCCTCTTCCTCCTCCTTTCAGACCGCTCAGACCACAGCGGGCACCTCACTACAACTAGTCACTATCACTCGACTGACTCCTGCCACCGATAGGGGGAAGAAGGGGCACTTCGCCCCCCCTCCACCCACAACACTGTCCCCGAGAGGGATCGGCACCACCACTGGTCCTTGGACAGGAACAGGAGTGCTAGGAGTGACGCTGCCCCCCTGGGACAAGGAGGGGAGAAGGGAAGGCAACGGAGGCAAGGGAAAGGAAGGAAGCGACGAGAGGGGACAGGTTTGTCCCAGGGCGTAGCTTGAACCAGGGAAAAGCCCTCGAAGGAGCTTCGACCTCTCAGAAGAACGCCTCGGGTTCAAACATGGCTTCGACAGCTTATCGGACTTAGCCGAGGAGAAACCACCGCAAAGAACACAGAAAATGATTGGGACATCCGTTTCCACCACCGTGGCCCAATACAACTTGTGCCCAGACCCCGCTCCCCCACGGAGGAGGGACGACATGGTCGGAGAGAGGGACTGGCAGGGGGTGGTGGTCCTGTCGGAAACAATTCTTAGACATTGGAGACACCTGAAAACAGACCCGTGGCGGATGGGATCATGCCTGGGGCCCGCTCCCGCTCTAGACAGCACCTTCGGGAGTCGAGCCAATTTACCGAATTGCTCCGGGAAGCTGGGCCATGCACCGAGAGTGTCCATGGCTCCCATCACCAAACTAGAGTATTCAGCTTCACCTTTGCCGAACTCCTCGAGATCTTGGGGGCATAACTTTTGCATTTGTGCCCCCACCTTGGCGTGCAGGTCCGCCACTGTGGACCCCGCAATGTTCAAGAAATCCTGGTCATCAACAGCTTCGTTGAAAGACCTATGTGCTTTGACGTTTTCGAAGGTTGGCCAGCACTCACTACCAACCCTGCGACTTATTTCGGCCAGTAGAAACTAAACCGAGACCTCCCCGCGAGCACCCTCGAGGGGCTCTTGATTCCCGAGAAAAGCCCCGAGTAATCAACCCTCGCAGTTTCGGGGGGAGCAGCGGGATTAGGGAGTTCTCGGCACATGACAGAAATGGCGAGGCCAGCGTGCTCAGCGTCAGCACTGGTCTGGTCAAAGCACTTCGGGAGAGGGCCATATATCCCACGGAGCCGCTGGCCCGAATCCGACATCGAGACGAGGCCAAAACCAGCTCTAGAAATCTCAGCCCGCTCACCTTGGACGCAGGACCCATCGGATAAGATTTTTCGTCTGACCTGAATTCGAACGGCGCAACCTCCTGCCCATCCGGGCCCACGTATTCTAAAAGCCAGTCCTCGCAGGGGGAGGGGCGGTCAGGGAAAGCAAGCCACAATCTACTGAACAACAGACGAGAAGGGCCTGCCGCCTGCATCTCCCTCCTGCGGACAGCCTCCTGATTCTGGCAACTCCACATGCGGTGCCGAGCCTTGTCAGGCTGGGCCTTGCACAGCTGGCAGACTGGGTCCACGTCGTAGCCCCAGGCCATCAGGGAATCTCCTGCGGGCAGGACCCCTGACAGGACGCGTCGGAACAAGTGGCCAGCACCTGGCTCGAGCCCTTTTGCTACCCTCACCAAAGCGGGGAGCCATAGGCCTCTCGCCTGGATGCCAGGGTCGGGAGAGCGAGACAGAACTTTAACCGCGTACTTCTGGAGAAACCTGGCCGCCAAATCAGCCGAAAAAGCGTCGGCAATCTGCTGGGGCGGGGACGCCGTTAAAAAGTCAGCGTTTGCCCTGAGAGGACCTGGAAATCGCAGGACCTTCCTGGGGCCACCCTCCAGCTTCCAGCCAGAGGAGCATGGCCGACACTGGGCCTCGGGCGCGGTAAAGACAGGGTTTGCCTGAGGACCCCCGAAACTGAGATCCACAAGATTTAACAATCCTACTGAGCGCGCCAGCTCTCATAGCATCAGAATGGCGCCTGGGCCCATGAGGAGTAGGTTCCGAAGACTGCCACCATTCCCAAGCATACCTTTTCAAAGGCGCACTAGCAATATTGATGGGGTCATCCTTGGATTGAGCGCCCACACCATATCAATATTACATCCACGTTTACTAATCCCTCCTGCACGTGCAGCCGCTCGACGGATGGTCATCAGTTCGTTGGGGGGCGCGCCCTGCGCGTCAATGCCGCGCGAGTTAGTGGGGCGGATGCCCATTTTGAAGAGCCGAGCCTTCTCGGGCTTGGGGGGTTTCAAGCCCTTGAGCTTCACAACCCTTTAGACGTGCTTCTTGGCACGCTTTTTCCGAGCAACGCGGGGGAAGGGCTGCGATTGGCGTTTCCTGACAGAGAACGATACTCCCACATTTGCTGGAGCGACGGGGCGGTGGCCAGCCACACCCCCCAACTCTGCAACAACTATTTTCAATAAAATCGCTGAGCTTGCTGCCGCCACCATCTTCTTGGTGGGCAATGGTGCGCAAAGATGTTGGGTGATGACCCTGGCAAGGCTGGTCGCGAGCCTCCGCGGCTGCCATGCGCACGCCGATAGGTCCGTCGCCCAAGAGTGAATAGACAGATCATCGACATGGAGCCCCTGACTTGTGTGAGGGTCCCCACTGTGGTCCTCGATGGTCGGGGGCATGAAAGACTTGGCCTCGCGCGTGGCCGACGTGCCCCCAGCCGCAACGCCCCTGGGCGGCCAAAAGGGGGGCCGCAACGGCCCCGTTTAAGAGAAGCACGCGTTTCCATTTAGACGCGGGTAAAGTAGACCGCAGCACAGATAAAGGAAACTTAGATAAGATACTCTGTTCCAGAAGCCGTTCATGGCCGATGTGTTCATAGAATTGCAGAATGTCCCATAGTAGCGCGGCGCAGTGCATCTGGAGCCCCGCGGAGGATTCAGCGTGGACACTCTGTCGCCATGCCATGTCGAGGGCGCTGCGGCCCTGTCCCATGGAAAGCTCTGGCCCCAAGACCACAGACCCCCCCCAAGCCCAGCAGGGGTCCCTGTGGATCTTGCCGTGGAGCAACGCGAACCCATTGTAATGCCCAATAGGTCTCCTGCCTTTGTCAGGCCTTCCCATGACAAAAAACAGTAAGCTGCTGCATATGCATCGGCGCCTGGCCGACCAAGTCGACCAGGTAGAAAAGCTGCGAGAGCACTCCCAAGCCGTGGTCGGACAGGAAACTGAAATGTCTAGGATGAAGTCCGTCAGGCGTGCACGTAAATGCTTTGGACCGAGTGCTGATGTTCCGAAGCTGTTCGGCCGACCGCGGCCGAGGGACAGGCGCGGGCAAGTCAGGAACTGCAAGCTCGGCCGCATGAGGTTCATCGTTGGCCCCCCATGCAGCCTTCCAAGAATCACGCTCCTGCTTCAGACGCGCAGGCAGAGAACTGGAATAAGAGCCCGGGGCCGTCGCGACTTCTTCCGCCATGAGTTCGCCCGACCTGAGGTACGCAAAGGCCTGCTTCATGCTGCCCTCGGCCGCTTCGGTGCACCACTGATGCCGCGACTCCTTAGCCCTGGAACGATCCCCAAGGAGCCCGATGCGTGCTCACATAGACACAACATCCAGACATTACGATTTACGGTGCTCCGAAGGGCCCAGGATACAGCATAACAAAAAGGATGCCAAAAATCGCCTCCAGCTCGCCAGCGACGTCGAAAAGGCCCACCTCTAACATGGGCGCTCTTGCCATTGGTCCAAAAGTTTGCTGGAGTACTTATCTGGCTTCGCCTTGCTGAGGATGGCATGGAGCTCCTTGAGTCTCACGAGCACCCAGTGGAGAGGCCTGCCTGGGAACGCGCTTTTGTAATGCTTCGTAGCGAGGAGCTTGCTCAGCGGGACCTCTTGGGA